CCCCCCCCCCCCGCAGCAGTTACTCTGTAATACCTGAAGGGTTGGAAGCAGCTAGATGACTTTAAAGGGCAGGGTTGATTATCTGGCCTTGCTATTTCTTCCACTTGAGCAACATCTAAGTGGGGCTAGTATAGTCCAGTGAAATGTGGATGAGACTTAGACATTGATGGCATTGATGTTTTGTTCCAGAAGAAGCAGAACATATAATAGTAACAATTGTAAAGGAGGGATTTCAAGTACATTCAAGGACTAATTTAGTTCTGAGAGACAATTTTTGTAATGAGCAAAAGTGGTAAATTTTGGTTGTTGTTTTTTTTAAGTAACCCCATTACTACCAAATGTACTGAAGGTCAATCTACTTGAACACAATTTTTGGCTGGAAAGCTTGCCGGGGAAACCATGTTAGCCCAACCCATAAGCTCAAAATGAAATCCACCTACCTTTTTTTACCCAGGCCACATCTTTTACCACATCTGCATGCCCAGCAATTGTCATGATGGGTTTGCCTTCCACTGACCAGATCCGAGAAGTCTGATCATAAGAACCTGTCAAGATCCTACGGAATTCAGAAGCAGAGAATTGGGTGAAATATTTATTTATTGATTGATTGATTGATTGATTGATTGATTGATTGATTGATTGATTGATTGATTGATTGATTGATTGATTGATTGAACTTATATGCCGCCCATTTAGACATAGTCTACTCTGGGCGGCTCACAAACTCCTCTAGGAGTTTTAGGTTCTCTTGTTTAATTAACAACTGAATGTAAAAATGATGTGAGAATGTAATGCCCGCATCTTTGCTTTGATCCATTATTTTCAATCTGTGGGCAGAAATGATCTCACCCACTTATGGAAATTGATGTATTTCCCAGAGGAGGGGGCTACACCTGCCAATTTTTTCTCTCATCTGCAGGCTCTAGCTCCCCCTTTTCCCACTGTTCCAGAGTGCCTCTCAAGCCTGTGGAGATTTGTGGTGACACAACAGGCTAAATGGCAGGCAGAGATCAACAAATATACAAGGATTTCAACACAGACGTCTGCTTGTGTATAGGTAAGCTGTAACACATAGAAGAATCCTCTTGAAGGAGTGGGAAAGCATTGTGAGTACACCTGGGTGTTCCTTGGGCAATGGTGTGCCACCAGCAAATCCTTCACTTCCAGAAACGTTGCACCGAAACAGCACCAAATCCATCCATTTCATGGATACCGGCTCCTGGACAATGGCTGAAGTCAAGGAAAAGTTTCTACACACATCTCAAGCTCTGACAGCTTCTTGTCAAAAATAGTCTGATTGTCTTGACATTTTGATTGGTTTTTGATTTTTGCCTATATTTCATGGGTCCCTGATTTTGAATTGTGCAACGGTCCGATACAAAGAAAGAAAGAAAGAATACAGACACACGTGTACACACAAAGAAAAGGAGAGCAAAAAACTTAAAAACCATTGAACATTAGACGCTTACCATTCCTCTGTAGCTTCAATAGAACTGATCCAATCATCATGCAGCATGCATTCTTCCGGCTGAGGCGCTGTGTACTTCTCCACATATTCTATTTCTACTACATCTTCCTAAGCACATATAAACAAAGCTACTAAGTAAAAGTGTTTCCAAATAAATGTGTTTAGGATTCAGTCATGGACATTTTAACCCCCTACCCTCCTCCAGTTCATTTCTTAGAAACTCTGGCCAGAACTCAACAGGGAACTCCCACTGCTGGAGCCACATCCATTAGTGGAACTGTGGAACTATCTTCTCTCTCCACGGCAGCCTTCATGCCTTCCCCAAATCTGCCTTAGGTGTTTGGGAAACTTCAGAGGAACAAAGAGGGGTGCAGGAGCTGACAGGAGGAAAGCTCTGTCATTCTGACAGTTGGCCAGTGGCACAATACTGGAGACAGCTACTGAATTCTTTAAAATCCCATCAAAATGACTTACTGTTGAGATATTCTCTGTTTCCATATGTCTGACCAGGGGCATACGCAAGAACTGTCCCTTGACAAGAAAGTCGAATTCCACATATTTGTGGCCCTCTAAAGACAAACAAACCAGAAATGACAAACTGCATGCCTTAAATCATACCATCAAAAGTGGCAACATACATTTTAACAGACTTCCAAAATGAAACTGAGCGTCTAGAGTGCGGACATTCTTCAGTTATTTAGATTTTAGAAATGTCAAATGGCATTAAAATTATCAAACTTTACAAAGAACATTTGTCAAGAAAAAAAGTATTAGGGAAAAATAATCCTTAGTTCTTATTAGCAAAGAAGAGTCATGCCTTACTTCGCAAACAAGGAGTACAAGTATCATTAAGAGATTTGGCAGGTGCTGTCTTTTGACGGTATTATACCACACAAGCCCTTCACACAATACATAACATCACTGATTGCTTTGTTATTAGAACTCCTAAAATTGCCCCAATACTGGATTCCGGCAACTGCAATCCAAAAACAAGCAACATTTCTCATGTATAGATTCCATATTCATAGCCCTGGCTTTCTCTGGACATGTCATGAGGCCAGTGACAAGCTGACCTTATTGCAGACTGCTCAGAGTTTTTCCACAGACAGAGACGTACCATTTTTAGCTTCCAGCAATTTGTTGATAAGGTTACTAAGGTCAGCAACTTCAGAAACAGCTGGGACAGAAAAAGGCACATCATCTACTGTGTATCTGTGGGGAGAAAAATACCATATTTTTTCCATTTATAAGATGACTGAATGTATAAGACGACCCCCTCCCTTTTCTAACCCCAAATTAGAAAAAGCCAGGATCAAAGAGCTCCCTTTTTGCTAAGCCCCGTGCCTTGGCAAACGGCAAGGAAAGCAGCTGTCAAAGTGACTGCCGCTTTTCCTTGCCTTTTGAGAAGGCAATGAGCTTAGCAAAAAGGCTGGGAGCAATGCAAAAGGCAGCTGAAAGAGCTGCCTTCCGTGTATAAGACGACCCTCAATTTATTCTCAAATTATTTAAGGAAAAGGCGTCATTTTATAAGCAGAAAAATACGGTAGTCAAATGGCTAGAAACAGATGAAAGCTGACTTCTTCAATACTGCATAGAATTTAAGCGATCTACCGCCAGCAGTAGCACCAGTGGTGAAGTGGCACCAGGGCTCCCAGAGTCAAAGCCTGGAGTTCTAAGTAGTGAGGACTATCATATCATCTGCCTCCACAACTTGGCTTTCTCTGGGTTTACCCATAAACCTCAGAGTACCTGGAGCAGGAATTTATTTTTCCAACAACAGGATACTGTTGCAACCAATCCTGCCATGATGCAAGATATCCAGGAAAGTTTGGACTTGTGTGGGAATTCACTTTAGGGGGAAAAAACGTGTTCCTTATCCACTGATATGTAATGATACAGCAGGCTAAATTTCTAAATTCTCCTGGATAGTTTAACAGTTTAAACATCTGACTGGGGAGCCAAAGGTTGTGAGTTCTATTCCCCACTGCGCCTCCTTGACGGAGACTGGATTCAATGATCCATAGGGTCCCTTCCATCTCTGCAGTTTTGAGGCTATTATTATTACTAAATGGGTGGGATGGGGGTTGGTTAAGACAACTTCCATGATGGGTGCCTATATTTCCAAACTTATCACTCCATGGCTGCTTCCCAGCGAAAGTCAAAAGAAGTATTGCCCTTTTAATTCAGTGCTTAACAAATTAATTAGCTGTCCCGAAAAGCGTCAGGAGGACCAAAACGCCATAAAAAGCTGAGAAGCAGCAGCAGACTTGCAGGATCCAAGTTTCAGCTACAGGATGAGAGCCCCAACACGTAGCAGCTGAAGATGATATCATCCCAGTCCTGTTACGTTGAGGCCAAAAGGACCTCCCGGTTCCCATTAAACCCGAACTAAGCAGAACCCACTTTCTTTCTTGCGCCCATTAAAAACGAGAGTAACCTGGGAAGTTAAGTCCCTACGACGAGTTCTAGCCATGCCTCGTCCGCACTTACTTGGTGTCATTGGTGAAGAAGCGAGCCTGGAGCTGCGCCATGGTTAATGCCGGGGATCTTTAACAGCAGAAATCCGGCGCCCAGGAATCTCCCGGCCTCCCCACAATCGATCCGTCCTTAGAGCCCCACGTGGCTGATCGCCGTCGCCGTCTTCCTTTCGCAAGACCAATGGATAGCTCGGCAACAGTTTAGTAAGGTCTGGTCTTCCAGCTAACTAAACAGAGCAGCGAGCTCTCGCTTTTCCTCACTTCGTTCCTATGCACAAGGGTGGCCAATCGATTACTGAAGTAATCGATTACATTTCCTTCTCTTCCCCCTCCCACTCGGTATTTCATATCCTTTCTACCTTGTGCTGTATCTGGTTATTCCGACGCGGACGAATGCGTGTTGCAGTAGCACGTCCGGTTCGCTCTTGCGTGTTTGTTAGGAGAGATTCGTCACAGAGCAGGCTGATGGATGGGCTGTTTTAAGCTGGATTTTTTAAAAAACTGAATTGCAGGATTGTTGTCGGTAGACTTGTACAAACGTGATCCGAGATATGCCTACTCTGAAGTAAATCCGATGAAGGTCAGTGGATTGGAGCTTACTTCCTAGTAAGCTGCGGAATGCCATCCACTCTTCTTGGAGCTACCCTGCTAAATGTAGTAGGACTTTTGCTCCCAAGTGAACAATCTCTTACTGTACTTGGCGGCAGGGAGTAATAAAGATGGAATGTAATTATTATTATTTTTGCAGTTGTTTCCATGATGGAGACTTGTGGTTATTTAAAAAGTGTATTCAGAACATGCAGACAGTGTGGGAAGTTGGATGATTTAATTCTATGCTATGCATGTGCAGCCTTTATATTTTACTACAGACTGCACATCACCGTCCTTTTATCATTTAAAACGTCAGCGGGATCATGCGCACGTCGAAGCCCACTCATTTTAGAGGGTGGGCATAACAATGCTTCGAACTGTATAAATTCCCAAAACAATACCCCGAAGAAAGCCCTATTGGGCCCGATGTGGAACTTACTCCCGCACCGGTATGCAGACGATCGAAGCCTTAACCGGCTGTCCTGCCTTTAGCAGAAAAGGGGGTCACCCTTATTCTGTGAAATGTAGAGGAAATAACGCGAGGAGAGTACTGTAATGTTAACCGCCCACAGTTATCGCTCCGGCTGATGCTGGAGAACAGTTTCAGGACGTACGTCGCGGATTCATATTTTGCAGTTTTCGAGAGGCGACTGCGGTTCCTTCCTCCAGATGTTTTTCTAATGCTACAGCTGAACCAGCTTCGGTTCCCGATTTGGGGGCATAGAATCCGACATGTGCGGGGCAGGAACATTACTGAAACCGTATGGCTAGCAAGCATTTATATGTCTCTAAACATTTCTTCATCAATCCCCTTTTCATTTTCTGTCCAAGAATTTTATCTTTGCATTTTTAAAAAATTTCTGATTTTGCATCTTATTGAATAGTGTACTTAAAATGTTTCGTTTTTGACATGCATATAAAATAATTTGAATATTGATTAATGAAACATTTCAATTTGGGGAGTTGTTTAGAACTACTTGGAAGAAAACAGGATGAGAACTGAATTTCTAAACACTTTTTCTTGCAATATGCTTATAAGCGTGGATATTTGAGCTGCACAAATGTCTCTTAGATTAGAATATATTAATAATATGAATAAATAATAAATTGGAGTTTATGAGAAATAACATTGATTTTTTAAGCTGCTACAAGTTTCTCCTCGATTTTGCTGCCATCATGTATGCACTAACCTCATGGAAACTTCCAGTCAATTTAAGGGAGCTTATTTCTAAGTAGAGATTTATATGTTTGCATTTACCGACTGGAGACTGATTAAAACCTGTCATTTTGGAAGAAGCACACTTTTATTTAGAACAACTGAAGAAGGCCCAAGTCAAAACATCTTGCTATCTCTCTCTCTCTTTTTTTTATTAGTCATTCTGCTATATTGTTTGTTTATTTAAAACATTTTTGCTCCACATTTCTCCTTAAATACGACCCATGGTGGCTTACATAATTAAAAATACTGTACAGTATTTTTTTAAAAAATAGTAAATCTACAAATACTAAAACATAGATATTAAAAACTGTAAAATCAATACTAAATGCATGTGTAAAAAGCAACAAGCCACAACAATCCATTTCAAAACCTGTCTCAGATAGCTAGTTATTAAGGAATAGTCTCCCTAAAGAGAAAGGACTTCATAGCCTATGGAAGGACAGCAAAGATGGGGCCCATCCAGCCTCTTGCGGGAGGGAATTCCAAAGTCTGGGAGCAGTGACAGAGGAGAGCCTCTCCTGTGTCTTCCCCAAACACACCTGTGAAGGTGGTGAGACTGAGAGGAAGGCCTCCCCTGATTATCTTAAAACCTGGTCCACGTCATAAACAGAGACATAGTCCTTGAGATAGCTTGGACCCAATCCATTTATAGTGAAAACCACCACTTTGAATTGTGCTTAGAACTGGATCAACATCCTGTGGAGCTACTGTAATGGGCTTATGTGATCCCTGTAACCACCCCCATTTAACAATCTTGTTATGTCCCATCATAAAGTGCCCATGGTGGGGAGATATGATAGCACTTTTCAAATACATACTTGAAAGGCTTGTGGAGGGTCAGGATCTGTTCTTGATAATCTGAGAAAGCAAGACACATAACAATGGGCTCAAGTTACCGGAAGAAAGATTTTAGTTGAATATCAGGAAAAACTTTCTAACTGTTAAAGCAGTATGACAATGGAACCAGTGACCTTGGGAAGTGGTGAGCACTCCAATACTGGAGGCATTGAAGAGACACTTAGACAACCACCTGGCGGATATACTTCGATTTGCATTCCTGCATTGAGGAAGGGGTTGGACTCAAAGGCCTTATAGGACCCTTCCAACTTGTTCTATGATTCTATGATCAAGTCACTTCCAAGTTATAGTGACCTTGAAGAATTAATGACCTCTGAAAGGTCTTGTCATTAACAGCTCTGTTCACCTCTTGCACACTTAAGACCTCTGGTTCGCTTACTGAGTCAATCCATCTCATATACATAAGTCTTCCACTTTTCCTACTGTTTTCAACTTTTTCCAGCATTGTTTTTGCATGGCAAGTTAGTATGATAACCTGACTATCTGGAGTTATAAAAGGCACATGAAAAATACCATTTTAAGAGACATTTTGTCTTTCACATGTGGAGGAGGAAAACACATTTTCTGGGCACATGTTATGTGCCTTTTGCTTCAACACTGTCTCTACTCTACTTAACATGAAAACTGAATGAATGAATGAATGAATGAATGAATGAATGAATGAATGAATGAAGGGTAGCTGGAGGATAGAAGACACAAGTATTTCATGTCAGGCAAAATATAAAACAAAAATAAAGGAAGACAAAATGTGGCACCTTAGGGACTGACTGCTATGTGGGGGATATAAGAGTGAAAGTCTTACTCGTCTGAGGAGCGGGACTTGTCCACGAAAGTTTAAATTAAAATACTATGTAGCAGTTAGTTTTTAAGATGCCATGAAGTTGTTGTCTTATTTTCTTTTGTTTTTGCCTGATATGTTACACAGACCAACACAGCGACCTTTTCTAAACGTATTTCAAGCATTTTATTATGGGAGAGTCTGAAGTTTTATTTGAAAGTTTACGCTAATTCCTTTTTATTTGCTCTGCTTTTACACGGCGCCTGAAGGATGAGATCGGATACGCAAAGAGTAGGAGCACGTGGACACCACCCGTCGCACTTTCCCTTTTAATTCTTTTTGGCATGTATCAGTACGGAGCCTCGTTGGCACCCGGTTTAAAAAAACCCCTTCGCGTTTGCTCCTGCCGCGCTTGCGCTCTCCACCAGAGGCCGCGCGGTCTCTCTCGGGCGGTGCCTGCGGAACCAGGACGACGAGCAGGAGTAGGCTCGTGGCGCGTCGGCTTCGCGCTCTTGCTCCCGTGGGCATCCCCCGCGGGCGCGGTGGCGGAGGGACGAAGAAGCCGTGCGCTCCAGATGCCTTTCCGCATGCTCACTTTCCGCGGCGACAACAACATACTGTACTAAGCAACGTCTTCCTGGTTTAACAGTCTAACAGTTTAACAGTGTTTGTGTGTGTTTAGTCGTTTAGTCGTGTCCGACTCTTCGTGACCCCATGGACCAGAGCACGCCAGGCCCTCCTGTCTTCTACTGCCTCCCGGAGTTGTGTCAGGTTCATGTTGGTTGCTTCGCAGACACTGTCCAGCCATCTCGTCCTCGGTCGTCCCCTTCTCCTCTTGCCATCACACCTTCCTAACATCAAGGTTTTTTCCAAGGACTCTTTTCTTCTCATGAGATGGCCAAATTTATTTGCTGCACCATTACCAGTGGCTTCTGGGCGACGTACAACAATATTAAAACTTAAAAACATTAAAATAGACAATATGAAATATCCTATATTAAAACAATTCTTATAACATTAATATTAATAAGTCCTGCCGCTCATGTGGCCAGCTGCCATTGTTAATGGAAGAATCACAAGGAATGCCCCCCCCTTTATGTGGGCATGACTCCTAATATTGTCCTTTTCTAGACAACGTGTGTTTGTGATGGATTTCACATCTGGCTTTCCCAGGCATACGCAGGAATGATCCTTTGTAACAATTTTTGACTGGGAAAAACTTTGGGGAAAAGTGCAGCTCATCTGTGTTTTTCTTGTTTTCTTTTGCCCCTTCATCTGGAAGGAAAGGAAGTGTGTATATATACAGTACATTTAGCCTTTGTTGTACCTGGCCTTTTATTGATTGATTGATTGATTGATTGATTGATTGATTGATTGATTGATTGATTGATTGTACTTATATACCGCCCCATAGCGCTACAAGCACTCTCCGGGCCGTTTACAATTTTTAATTACGCAGGCTATACATTGCCCCCCCCCCCAAGCAAGCTGGGTACTCATTTTACCAACCTCGGATCCACAAAGCATTTCAATTTTTGTGAATAGGATGTGTGTGTCATTCAGTTCAGAGAGCTAAGATTTTACTGTAGGCAAGACTTTTTCAGCTTCTAAAAGTTACCTACACTCTTATGTTCAAAGACAGCTCAATACAGTAATTCTAGGCTGGAGCGAAGAAAGGAACTGAGCCCAGATCAAGGTAAGACTGTAGTTCCAGTTTGTAGAACAAGATCCAGGATAATACAGGTTCTTAGGAGAGTCTCACGGCAGGTTTCCAAATGAGGCCCCATGTGAACAGAAACAGAGTTTTCTTCCAGTTGCTGCTCATTGCCCCCTTTTGCTGCAGCTCCTCGTATCACACTCCACACAGTTCCAGAGGATTCCCCAATTCTGGATGGCTAATCATCCCATCCCCAGTGCTGGTCTGTCGTCCTCAAGTGATCCCATCTGTCTGCTTTTAGGTGTTTTAAAAAGACTCCATTGATATTACAGTACTGAAAGCTACAGTATTAGAATGCCTTATTGCAAGACAGGGCAGTGTGAGTGTGTGAGAGATGTGGGGGGAGAGGGGAGAAAACATCGAGGAAGGGGTCTAGGTAGTCCTATGAGGGGTCACATTCCAGCCGTGGGAGGAGCACCCACTTTGGGTCATTTCCACACTTGTTGCTTGAATGTGTCCTCCCAGTGCACTTGCCAGGGGCCACCATTTTGGCCCACACCCTGGTTGTAATTTAGTCGGTCCTGTAAACCTGGGCTTCTGGGTTGTTGTTCCAAAACAAACCAGGAACAAGAACAAATTCTGGCTTGTCATTCTTCTGCATGAAGATTACAAGCAAGGAAGACCCTCAGTTTTAGACAAGAACACACTAAGCAATGTCTTCGTGGTTTAGCAGACTAACCACCAGGAAGGAACATAGAGGTTATATATGCCAACATGCAGCTCATTTCTGATAAACCAGAATTCACTTGAGTTGTAATTTATTACATTGGGCAAATATGGCTATCTGGGTTCTCTCACTAATAATATGGCATCTAAACTATTACTGTAGCTTGAAAATGTTATTATTATTATTTTTTTTGAAGATTGTTCCTCCCAGAAAACCCAGCTAGCATGGCCACAGTATATTAGTTGGGGGAGTCTAAGAATTGTAATTTGAGAAGTAACTTTTCTGACTAACTGGTATTAGGAAAGATCTGCGTTGCTAGCACAAGAGACACTGAATGTCAAGATATGTAGATAACTTTATAAAACTGTTTTAAGTTGTGGTTTAATCTCCCCCCCCCCGCCGCATTTTTCTTCGAAGGGATCACAGTTTCAGTCAGTCCTGGATCTTGTTCTACAAACTGGAACTACAGTCTTACCTTGATCTGGGCTCAGTTCCTTTCTTCGCTCCAGCCTAGAATTACTGATGGAGCAATAGCCCTCTAACAGTGGATAGCTAGTCCCAACCCCCTGAGTCTTCCACAATATTTGCCAGGGAGACATATAGTAAGAAAACCCTTAATCTGTTCAGATAATCTTTCAGCAAGTTTAAGTCGAGGTATAGTGATGGTGTGCCAGTTTGCTACTGTTGATGTTGAATGTACAGAACCTGCTGAAGCTGTTGAAGCTAATTGCACCCTTTTAAGGGTTAAGCAGACTGTTCTGACACAGATGGTGACTGTGTATTTTCTCATGATAAATGCAAATCTTTTTAAGGTTATTAACACATAAGGTGTTAACTCTTAGCAATCTGTGTTGCAAGGGTAGGTGGAGTGATGGCTAAGAGGTACTTTACAGTATTTAATCATGTGAGTCCAGGATGTGCTGGTACTTCTCAGAGCAGCATGTATGGAGAGAATTGGTTGTGAACACATTAAAAGCATATAAATGGTAGCAACATTCTTTCTCAGCTTTTAAAACTTCGAATGGTTATTACGTTCTAGAGTATTCTGATACATAGACATAGGTAACTACTATACTACAGCTTTCTTTGCTCTTTCTTTCCAAGATCCATGAACTAGAGGAAATAGCTTTGATCTCCATAGATTTTATTTTCAAAAAAAATTCCATGCATTCTTTAAGCCTAATCATCTGGCCAATACAGCATTTACAAGGTATTAACAAAGAAACCAGATTGATTTAGTAAAGAAAGACACAACCATTCATTTGTAAGACTTGAGCAGAACTATTAGTGGGAGGACCTTTTAGAGATAATTTATTAATTGGGTCATCATAAGTCATAATTGAAAAGATGGCACTTAATAACAACAACAGAGAGACTAATTATCCTCCTCTATTCTTGGACTGCTACTGTCCAAGAGGGTCCTGATAAATGAAAGTATAAGCCAGGTCTCGCTCCAGTGGCAACATCTTTGTTCTTTTTATGTTTAAGGGAAGGTGTTCTCTTAATATGACGAAGGACTCGCGACTGTTTAATGAAGTGACTGTGCCATGTGCTGCTGTATTAAATTGTATGTGTCGAAGTAACAATAGGGTTGGTGATTTTAAACAACAGGTCAGTGACGGTAACATGTACCACTCAAATATTGTTCATTTTGGCTAAGTACAGTGGTACCTCGACTTATGAACTTAATCCATATTGGAATAGTGTCCGTAACTCCTTATGAACTTAATCCGTATTGGAATAGTGTCCGTAACTCGAAATGTTTGCAAGTTGATGCACCATTTCCCATAGGAATGCATTGAAAACCAATTAATCCCTTCCGGCCAAAGGTGCATTGAAAACCGATTAATCCCTTCCGGCCGAAGGAAAAAACAAAACAAAATACTGCAAGCCCCATAGGAACGTGCTGGGGCTGCAAAAAAACAAAACAAAACCCAGGAGAGAAAGGGAGCCTCAAAGGCTGGCTGAAGTGAACGGGCCAGGGCCAGAGACCTGGTTGGGAAGCGCTCGCCTGCCCGCCCGCCCAATTCCTGGAGCCTCAAAGGCTGGCTGAAGTGAACAGGCCAGGGCCAGAGACCTGGCCGGGAAGCACTCGCCTGCCCGCCCGCCCGATTCCTCGTGCTCCTCCTGAGCTTCCCTCACTCCAGTCAGCAGCCACGGCTTCCCCGCCCCCCAGCTGCCCAGAGGAAAAAAATAACAACAACGAGCTTCCCTCACTCCAGTCAGCAGCCACGACTTCCCCCCCACCCAGCTGCCCAGAGGAAAAAAATAACAAAAAAAAAGAGCACAGCAAGCCCAGTTGGAAGGTGCTCCGTTGCTGAGGCTTTAAGAAAAAACCTCAAAAAACAGACACTAGAGCCACCTCCGTTGCTGAGTTTAAGAAGGAAAAAAACCTCCAAAAATACACACACACACATACACACACACACACACTCTCGCTCCGAAGCAGTGCACAGAAACAAACCCTCCCTGCAGACACACACACACACACTCCAAAGCAGAGCCAACAAAACCCACTTAGAACAGTTTTTTTAAAGAAGAAAAGAGCAGCTTACCTCCCTGCAAACACACACAAAAAGAGCAGCTTACCTCCCTGCAGACACATATAACACAGGCTCACTCCGAAGCAGGAGGAGGCTCTCCCAAGCCTTGAACTGCGACACACCCTATAACTGCCGAAAGAGCTACAGCACAAAGTAACTTGTCGCCACCTACAATTAGAAAGTTTAATTGCCCGCCTTTTTTCTCTGCCTGTTTCTGTTCGTAAGTGGAAGCTCCGTTTGCAAGTTGAAGCAAAATGTTGCGACCGGAGCTGATTGTAAGTCGAAATGTTCATAAGTAGGGACGTTCGTAAGCCAAGGGTACCACTATAAAGGTAAGTTAATGTAGTTACTTTTATGAAACAGGAAAGCAAACAGCTACTTTTTGAAACTGTAACTATAATGGCTGCTAAAACTATTTATTTAAAAACATTTGGCCTTAGCACTGTCACTGTAGCTAAATTTAGTTTTTACAACTGATGTGCCAGACTTGGTCATGAAGTCACTGGAAAAGCTCCTGCCATGGACAGAATATTGGAAGTGGTGGGTTGAGTTCCACTGTTCTTAAATTCTCTCTCTAGGGGAAGAATGGAATGTGGACTGTCCTGGGAATCTAAGCTGGCTGATTCTATGGCAGTTGTTTCCGATCCTGTCACAAAAGGCAGCATCTTTGCTTGGAGAATCGAGGGCCTCCAGCAGAGCGAGCCTTAGAGAGCCTCTAAACATGCCCAAACAGCCCTGGAGAAGACGCGGGCCTCCTGTGAAGCTTCTTCTGCATCCTTGGCTTAGTGAGTCCTGGATTGAGGAGGGCAGAACTGTCGATTCTTGTCTTGTTGAATGGAGGCGGTGGTGGGAATCTGGTCTGACCTCCTCTTGCGTGTCCGAGTAACCATCATTCTTACTGGCCTAAACTTTGATGATACGGCTAACAAAATTAGTTTCTTCAGCTGTTAACAACCTTTCACAGGATCTACAGGATCCTAGTGTCATTTGGAAGCAGTATTTCCTTACAGACTGGATTTGATATCTCTCCCTGCCCTTCATGTCTCCCAAGAGCTTGAAATGGGATACAGGTTCCTCCTATTCCCCTTTTGATCCTTGCAGGTACTCCGTGAGATTTGGCTACCAGAGGAGAAACAATCTACCCATTACTTTCCACTAGCTCTCTACTTTCTGTCTTGGTATCTTTCACATTTTTTCTTTTCTTCTTTAAAGGGAGGCGTGGGAACTTATGCTTTCCCCTCCCCTGATTCTTTTGTTGCTACAGCCCATCAGCCTGGCTGACATAGCCAGTGGAGTGGGATTCTAGAAGTTGTAGACAAAGGTCTAGACCAGGGGTCCCCAACCCCCCGGTCTGTGGCCCAGTACCACGTTGTGGCTTTGGCAAGACCAGGCTGTGGAGGCAGATATCCTGTCCCCGCCATGCCTGCCATGCCCATGCACGTTGTCCACATGCCCGCCTGCTTGCCCTACCCACAGACACACTGATGCCCCGCCCACAGATGCATGCATGCCCCATGCATTGACACATGCACGGTCCCCCACATGCATGCACGGATACACACATGCCCCGCCCACACACACCCTCTCCCCTGCACGCATGCCAAACCGGTCTGCAGTGCAAAAACGGTTGGGGACCACTGGTCTAGACAATCACAGCAGCCTACCCCAAAGGTTTTAGGGCATTTGTTTTATGAAAAGATGCATTTTTAAAGAATGGTGAATGGTATTCCATTTCCACAGCACTTTCAAAAAGCAAAGGTGCTGCATCACAGGTAGGCTACTTGATTATGCCAGTTAAGGCTGATGGAAGTTGTAGTCTAATGACAATTGGTGGGCCACAGGTTGCCAATTCTCTGCTATATAAAAGGACAAATTGCCCATTGTTTCCACTTTAAATTGATCAAAGTGACTCTTGGTAGTGAGGGAAGGTGCAGTTTTGGGGTTGCCAAAATTTGGATCCAAATTACAAGCTGTTCTCTGGGCAGGCAGCTCTGTACACCATCATCATCATCATGATTATTGCCTTTCTCATGTTCATTGTTTTTGTTTATGAAATCATATAATCTTTTTTGCATAGTGAAGAAAATGTTGACTGTGACCCATTCACTCCCATGATTCAAATTCACTTTCAATTTAGTAGCTCACCGTGGAAAAACTACTGTTGTCTTAAACCTCAGTGAAACAAGGCAATAATCATAATGCCCCCTCTTGGCAGTGGCCAGTTGAAAAAAAATTCATTTTGGAATTTTAACATGCTTCAGTCCTGACCATTGCGATCAATAGCCAAGGATGATGGGAAGTGATCGTTCAACATCTAGAGGGTTGTAGGTTTCCTGCTCCTGAATTACACAGTGAAGATAAAAACATTTAATATACTTTAATGTAGTATCAATATGCAAAGTGCTTCTTCTTCTTCTGTGCTTATATTTTAATACCATTATAACTCTTTTTTTCTAAAAAGTGACTGTCTAATATTACATAAGCATCATAACTCTAATCTTCATATCTGGCCCGTTTGACACAAGAATTAGGAAACAAGGGTGGCAGAAGCATTTGAGCTTGAGAGGTATTTTGTGTGACAGAGAAGAAAATCTTTATAAGTCTCTATAGTCTTCAAGCCAGGTTGGCTTTGAGTCATCAGAATTGCTCTGTTACATCAAAATATGTCCCACAGTTGTCTGACGTAATCCCTGTTCCAAGCAGAGACCTGTCAGATGTCTTTGGCCACCTCATGGGCAAGGAATGGAGCAGAGAGGCACACTCTATTCATCATCAGTATCCAGGAGCCAAACAGATACTGTCCACATAATATGGACACATAGTGGCTCTACACGGAAGTATCATTTCGATTATACACATGCACACGAATCCAACAGCTGTCTCAGTAGGGCAGGTGCCTCTCTTTGTAGAATCAAAATAGCATCACCTGTACACAGTTGGGAGGAATCACTAGATTGGGGGCGTGTGTGTGTGCAATGGGCTGTACAGAAGCACTAAACATTTGGGGTTGTTGGGGCAAATGGGTGCAAAAACAGCCTGGCTATTCCCTCCTTCTCCTATCAACACTTGTCCTGCATGTCCCATTGACCACATGGACCTCTTGTTTTCCCATGGAGAGGCTTTGGACAATGGTCTCAGCTAGAACAAGGAAGAAGAGATGGGAAACTTCATGAGAGTGCTAAGGGCAAATTTGTTTTTATTTAAACAGACTATTTGATTTCCTTGTGCAGGACACAAACAGGATGCAGCAGGCAGTTATGAAGCAGAACGTAAGGTATGCATTTCCCCAGGTACAAATGTTTGATTTTTTCCTGTCCCTTCCCTCGTTCCTAGGTGGATAATGGTTGACATAAAAACTGGAAGAAAATGGAGCTATCAGGGAAAGAAGATACATTAAGGGGGAGAAGGGTGTAGAGTGCAGTATGTGTGAGTGTGTGTGGATGTAGGAAAAAAAGGAACAAAAGTGGGCGAAGCCAAGGGAAGCCAGGCAATTTTTCACAGCCCAATCTTGGTCCTATCTTAGAAGCATCTTTTCCCTGCATCTGTTTGTCTGTCTGTCTATGCCACACTACGCTTCTCCCTCTATATTTTGCCAGTATTGCTTTTGGAGTGCTTGTTTTTTAAACAGGTGGAACAGTAGAGAAACTGGTAAAGGGAAGATGCACTATGCTAGAGAATTAAGATGCCTTGTTGGTGAGGCAGAAAAGCATATCACAAACAAAACATGAATTTTATATTCCACTTTTTCCCTGGTGAGCTGATGATGGCATTCCTCCTCCCCACCATATCCTCTTAACAAGCCCATGAGGTCGGTCTGTCTGAAAGATGTTAACTAGCCCTACAGCTCTGTGTGGACATGAAACGTGGGCTTCCCAAAGCACAACCTAGCACTCTAACCACTGGAGAAATGAGAAAGGTTGTTTCATGAATGGGTGGGAGAGATGAGATGAGCCAGAGAATGGAACAGAGAGGAACAGACAGAGAAATGAAGGGCTGCTGCATCAGTCAGTTTCAGAGAAGACAAAATGAGCAAAGGGTTTTAATGAAATCTGGCCAATGAAATACATAAATGAAAACATATTGAAATATGAATTAGGAGGAAGTAACAATTGGCAAGAGAATGAATGTGTATGTGTGTGTGTGCACACCCAGGGGTATCAGTCAATGTGAAGAGGAAGCAATGGAAGGGGGGAGGGAATTAAGAACCCTTTCTCCTCTTGCTTCTCTAATGAATTGCATTAGTAAATTTTCCTGTAGAGGATGCTCTGCTAGGAAGGAATAATATCACAGGCATGCGCACATAACATGTTTAGCCCCCCAGGTTATGAGATAATGTGGAAAAGCAAAGGCTGCTGTAATCAAGTACACATTTGGTAAACTACAATATTGCAGACGCAGAATTCAAAAACACAGTACAAGAAACAATATGTTTTTAAGGATTAATCAAAACCCACAAATCAGTTGACTAGTTTTATGATGCGTACTTTTATTTTTAATTACCTGTTACTATTTTATCAAAACCAGTAGGTACAAACACAGAACAAATGAATCACAATAATACAATTTCCAGCATTCTACATCATCATCATGATCAAAACGTTTATTTCTGTCCTTTTATCACAGTCTGTTTAGTTGCTATTTTGACTCTTAGTTTTGATCTTATTGAGCTGTGCTAATTTCAGTGTTGTTTATTAGGCTGTTTTCTTCAATTTATTGGTTGGTTTTATTTGCTGCTGCATTTCTGATGGCTTTGGGTTCCTCACAGCTATGGAATTCTTACGAACCAAACCCTGTAATCCTGTTGCACCCTGTTGGCTGACACCTGCAGGAAGAGACGAGGAAGAGGAAGACATGAATTAAGAGCAGCAGTCATGTCTCCTGGGCCAGACTGTCTATACCTGGTGCCCACCAGATGTTTTGGATTGCAATTTCCACTCATTCACAGACAAGGGAGATTAAATCCTAAGTGCCTGGAGGTCAATAGATTGCAAAAGTTTTCTTAGGACCATTGGTTTAACAGTTTAGCGTGTCAGGCACAATGTGCACGTGAGTGTGTGAGAGAGATTCTGTGTGTGAAAATACTTTCCCCTTAGGAGTGGGGTCTTTTTTTTAAGTAGTAGTCTTTTTTTTAATCTAATAAGCACTTTAGTCCCATGTTTTATTCCTTCTCCTTGACATAGAACTGATGCTAATTTTTTCCCCAATTCTCTACTGCCCTGCAAGACTTTCCGCAGGCTGATTGTCAATATTATCCTGCTGAGCAGAGTATGCCGATGTTTCCGCAGTGGACTGAAAGGATTCCAAGGATTTCAACTGATAGAAAAAGACATCCGAGGGGAGTTTGATGAAGTAAGGACTAATGCAAATAACAACTAGGGTTTTTGTTGGCTTATCCCTGCTGGTGGCTTCTGATGGCAGCAGTAAAATGGACTGCTACCTCAAGCCAGCGGCATGGAAACATTGGTAATGTTAGGGTGATAACTCAGGAGAAATGGAAAGAGGGCAGGACAACTGCTTCCTTGCCTCCTCCTCTCCCCCAGCAACTGCCACCTGAGGTGAGCACCTCAGCCGGGGTACCAACAGGACTGTCTGTGACCAGGCTCTGCTTCTTGACTGCTTAGCTCTCCTCCTACATAGAACCTCTCTGACAGAGCAGAATTTCATCTCTCAACCCTTCACCTTGAACACTTCTCAGAGCGCTCTGCAATCTGTGGGGACTCGCTGGCAAACATGCCAGGGGGTTCCTCAAGAGAAAGATTAATGTGACATATAACAGTTCTGAATACTGACAACTTTAAAACTGCTGTCATGCCGCATTATGATTGTGCTGCACCGCGCTGTGTTCTCCAGGGAAACAGCTGAAGAAAATGCTAGCAAAGTTCTTTTTCTGGACTATTAACTACCAGAACCTCTTTTTTGGCATGCCCTGAAAGAAGAACTTTCTGACTTTCTTTGGTTGAGAACAGATTCAAAGTATTGTGGGCCGGCTTCATGTCGCTGTTATGTGCCGTCAAGTCATCCTCGACTTACGGTGACTCCATGAATGAGCACTGTTCTGTCCTCTGCATCCCTGTTCAGCTGTTGCACACTCAAGCCTGTGGCTTCTTTTAGGGAGCCAATTCATCTTGCATTTGCTCTTCCTCTTTTCCTGCTGCCTTCATCTCTTTCTAGGTATTTCCCATGAACACTTATTGCAAACCAGGTTGAGCCTCTCCTCTGCTCTCAGATCGTCCCGATATTAGCCAAACGTACAGTACAGTGACATTCTCCCGTCCAATGCTTTTAGCAGAGGATAAAAAAATTGGGGGAGCCAAGTCACAGATATCTCAAGTAACATCTAGCTCTCCCTCCATCTCTTACTGCTCCACCTCGGTCCTTTTATTTATAAAAATGTTTGTACCACTTTTGAAAAATTCTAAAGCCATTTACAGTGTAAGAGAAACACTGTTATATAAAAGAGTGGAATATTTCATTAAAATTGCCAGAGATGATGAGAAAGTCATTGATTAGGTAAATACCTGTGGAAACAAGAGTTTACCTGACAGTGGAATATACACCATCCTACAATCATCCATGATTGCCTGGGGAGGTCGATCCACATGTTAAGTGTTGCAATGGAGGCGCTCTCCGCCACAGTGCAGGCAAATGAATCTCACTAGGCAGCAGTAGGATAAGCAGGTTCTCCCCTCAAAGCATGGATACCTGGCCCATCTGTAAAAGAGTACCCACTTACAAATCACCTAAAAAGAGGGTGAAAGAGCACAGTGGTTTGCATAAAACCGCGTATGCTAATTGGTATTTGCAGATGCAAAATTCTAAGTCATTTTTATGATGGTGAAACAGAATTATAAAGCATCTTTCCTAAAAATAAATATATGGCCACACTAGCCTATATGGGAGAAAAGGGAGCTTCTGAGACCCACATACTTCCTGTCCCACTTATTGTGTGTTTGAAGATGGATTGTGCCTTCTAAAGTTCATGCCATACAATCGAATTATATGTCAAAGGGCCATGAGACTTTTAAGTATAAATACAACTATATAACACAATAATATTAAAGAATGAATGTTCAAATGGGGATGTAGACTACTCTGAAGTTCTCTTCATGCAGAATTCCTGATGAAATGAATCATTGTTCAATGTTTGATTTTTATTTATTTGTGTGTGTGTTTTTTTAAAGGAAAAGAAAGGTTCCCAAGTTGTGTTCGAGCGGCATGAGTTCACAGTTTCAAAGGTCTGGACAAAGCCTCTTCTGTTTCTCTTGCTTGTACGAGGATAGACAATCAGGGCTTGAGATTAGGGATATGGTTAAGTAATTCCTACCTAACCTTTTGAGTGTTTTATGTCTAGGGAAGGTAACATCAAAAGTTAGGAGTTTTTTCCATTGAGAACCTATTTGGAGCTTATTACCCTGCCCCTCAAAGATGACACATGCTGCTTCTCAGAAGCTTCGCATCCATACAATTCTCGAAATGTATTTTATAAGTAGTGTTACAGGAGACAGCTTTCACTAACTTGGCATTTTCTAGATTCTATTGGATTCCATCCACCCTGGCCAGTGGTTATGAATGAGAATTGTAGTCCCAACACATCTGTAGGCAACAAGTTGGGGAAATTTGGCCTGGCATGTATAATCTAGAGCATGGGTGGGCCATCTAGGGCCCATCTCCCCCACTCCTTGAACCAGTCACGGGCCACACCAACGTTCTCCTGGCAAAAAATGGAAGTGAATGGAACGCCACTTCTGGTTATTAAAATAAATAATAAATGTGGAGTGGGGGGAGAAGTAAAGTAAGGTTCAGAGAGACCGTCGCTTATTTTAGAGGAGAAAGATCCTTCCTGGAGGTTTTTAGAAATGTGATTCAGTTTTGCATACTAAAAGGTGATGAAATGTGCATGTGGCACAAGAGCCACAAAATTTCCACCCTGACCTACAAGCTGAAGTCATGTGTAAAGTAGCTTCTAAATGGCTGCTTTCTTTAACCAAAAAAACAAAAAAACAAAAACTGAGAATAAACTCTGTTCTATTTTTAGTCAAATTACTGTCCTTGTAGTGATTCTCTTTTTTCTTGGGCTGCTAATGTGTTAGGTAATGGACATACAAGAATTCACATTCTAAATCTGTGCTTGTCAGGGCAACAAAACAAATGTTTAGAAGGACAGCAGAAATGTTCCCAAATGATGAGAAATAGTGGCTAAAATCCTGTTAGCATAACTTTATGCCACCCAACTCAGATGACATCATCATCTGGAGATGGAAAATCACTGCCAGTGGTCTTGCTGCTAGAAATCCACCAGCAGTTTTCTGATTTTAAGAGCTTCTCCTTTTCTGTTTTGATGGAAAGAGACCTTATTCCATTTCAAGAGCTTGGGGCATTTGTTTTATGGTATGACCTAGAATGCTGTACAGGACATTGTCAATTATTTGTACTAGTGTGATGATGCTTCAGTTTATCTTTGCCACAGAAGAAATGGCATCTCGTGCTTTCTCTGTGGATTTGTGGCTTCATTTGTCACATGGGGAACTGAGTGACACGTGCAAGCTCTCTCAGGCAATTAGATGGTTAATTTGGATTTTTAATGGCACAGAGAAAATCAGTTGCTCATTGTTTATTAGAAACAGAGAGATTTCCCCATTAATCTTTTATGTAATTAATAATAATAATTGTGCTCCATCAATTCAATTCCAACTCATGATGACTCTCCCAGAGTTTTCTAGGTGTAAAGTGTATAGGATTTTTTATAATTGAAAAGATGCTTGGGATCTTCTCTAGGACCATTTTCCTTTTAGAGCAATCCAAATTACCAAGAAGCCGCCAGCGTGGAGGACTGATGCAGAAGTGAGGCATTTACGAAATCGCTTGCAGCATTTGGAAAGCTTCCAGCAATATAGCCCAGCTCTGCAAAACCTTCTGGCCAAAGTAGTTCGTTTTGAACAGTAAGTTAAATGGAATGCCTCTGTAGCAGTGCCAAGGCAACATTTGGGTAGTTTTAATAGGCTACTGATCCCAAGCTTTCTGTGCTCAAAAGTGAATGTTGAGTTGATAAGACTTATTTCCAAGGAATTAGATATACGATTGCAGCTAAAATGACTAACCACTGGCATCCCATTCATGGCATCCAAAGACGAGCTGCCTGGGGTACCAGCTTCATTCTACTGTAGGGCTCCAGCAGCATTTATGGAACCAGCTTCTGGAGGAGCTCCTCTTAGCCCCCTCCCTGTGGACTTTTAGGAACCAGTTAAAGACATTGCTTTTCAGGGAGGCTTTCCACACCAACCCCAGTTGACCACCTTCCCCCCCTTCTTCCCTAACTTCTTTTCCTCCATCTGCTTTGGGATTAGTCGGTATCATCTGTTTTGGGGGGAGGGGGTTATTGCTATTGTTTTTAATATTTTTGTTTTTATTTTTGTTTTCTATTTTATGAGTTGTAACCTGCCCAGAGCAGTGCTCTGACACTAATGGGAGTGGGCTACAAACTGAATGAATGAATGACTGAATGAATGACTGACTGAATGAATGAATGAGGGTTAGCATTTTGATACCCATGGGCTGCTTTATAGGCCACAAAGCCATTTCTGTAATAACTGTGCTGCTGACGTCGGGCAGCACTGCACAGAAATGCATTTAAAATAAGCATTCTGCTTCCTTTGAGTGCTTATACCAGTTTGCTGTGGAAATGCAGTTGCATATAGGGAAAAAACTATGGAATATTGAGAATCTTCAGGGTGGAAACTGTAACATAGCCAAATTTCCAGCAAAGTCTGATGACAGCTGACAACACTTGAGTTTCTTCCTAAAATGCAAGGATGCACTTTTTTTGCTTGCATATTTACTTAAGTTAAATTGTTTATCATCTTTCACTCAAAGCAAGCTTTCTTGATGAGGTATGCTACCCCGTTTCCCCGAAAATAAGACATAACCCGAAAATGAGCCCTAGTATGATTTTTTCAGGATGCTCATAAAATAAGCCCTGCCCCCAAAATAAGCCCCAGTTAAGTGAAAGCCTGCCCTCCACCATTGTGCAGCAACCAGAAGAAGATGACAGGACTGCATTTGAATAAATGTAGATTGTTGTACATGAAAAAATAATAAAACATCCCCTGAAAATAAGCCCTAATGTGTTTTCTGGAGCAAAAATCAATATAAGACCCTGTCTTATTTTCAGGGAAGCATAGTATAAAAATTAGAATAGAACAATGAAGTCCACTTACTACATCATTAATAGAGACATCACAAAGCACTACTTGTTTGGTTGCATATTGTCATAATCTAGAATAATTGACTAAGTTTTCTTACTATCCATTGACTAATGATACCAAAGACTGTATTTTGTTTTAAGGTAAACTCGTCACATTTTTAAATGTTATGAAGGCAAAAGCTTTTTGAATAAAATGTTACTAAATACACACTTCCTTTTGCAGTTTTCTCAGGGCCATTCCTGTCTCTTGGAATGACTTCCCAGTAACTTGTAAAATTATAAAATTGTTGGAAAAATATTTTCGGTATTTCCTTTTAGCTAGCAGAGTAAAAAACATGGAGAGGTCATCCCCATATCGTCACTAACACCCCCCAATCAGTAATTGGTTGGTATAAAATCATGGAATGACTTCCCAGTAACTTGTAAAATTACAAAATTGTTGGAAAAAATATTTTAGGTATTTCCTTTTAGCTAGCAGAGTAAGAAACGTGGAGAGATCATCCCCGTATCATCACTAACACCCCCCAACCAGTAATTGGTTGGTATAAAATCATTCTAGAAGTATTTAAAATAGAAATAAGGTATAGTTATATACAGTTGCTGTCTATAGTTTCAGTCAGAAGGATAAAAGAAAAAACAATTAGGAGAAGTGAGTCTCAACCATGTGGGAGATAGACCCTTCATCCTGGCCACATGATTGGAAATCAGGAGCAGAGAGAAACTAGCAAACCTAATAATAATAGTAGTAATAATAGTAATAGTAATCATCATCATCATCATTTTTCCCACTCACTTTTCTTTAAAATCAACTGCTGTGTGGCTCATTTTGGTTGTTTTGAATATCACTCTTGATCAGAGGTGACTTTCAGCAGGAAAAGAATGCCAGGAAGAAGGAATTAGCCTGCCCTTTTCTTGCATCACTGTTCCAGCCTGAATTTTACATTTTGTAAAACAAGTGAGCATGTGCAAGTGGGCACATAATACATGCTTCATTAAACAACTGTAAAATCATTAACTTTTAATCACCGCTCTCATAAGTTAACAAAGCAACTTATAGAGTTGTGTGTCATCAAAATGATCCCCAAACCCTAACACTTTATTTTCATTCTTCTAATGTTAGACTATTTTCCAAGAGTCTATACAATAGATAGTTTATGGCCCAAGCTGGTGAGACTTTCCAAACCTGGAGTGAAGTTCTGTCCTTGCTTGTGCTGGGTTATGGGGCTACCCAAGTTATGCTCTCCTAATAAAGGAAGAGGAACAGATAATGATCAGGGTGAGGAACTGAGTTCACATGGAAACTAGGGGTGTTGTAGGAGGTTAAATGGAATGCCAGCTCTTATGCTAAGAAAGAAAGAAAGAAAGAAAGAAAGAAAGAAAGAAAGAAAGAAAGAAAGAAAGAAAGAAAGAAAGAAAGAAAGAAAGAAAGAAAGAAAGAGCAGAAGTTTACAATTAGATGGCACAGATCAGACAAGAAGGTGGATTATACAACTGATCATGCTGTTTTGTTGTAAAACTCAGTTACATTCACGTGGTTTAAGTGTGTATCCTAATTTGCATCTATATTTACATCTTGATTTGGTGAGGAGTGCAATGCTGACTGAAGCCTCCCAGTTCAATTTTGCTAGCTTGTTATGCTGTCTGTTTTCTAGGTTTGGCCGTCGGAGAGTGATTATCAAGAAGGGACAATGGGCAGTCAGTTTCTACTTCATCTATTTTGGGACAGTGGCTGTCACTGATGATGAGGATGGGAGCAGCGCCTTCGTAGATTCAGCTCCAACTACAATCGCAAGAGGTGCTTGTTTTGGTGTGAGTGTTAACCACATACAGTATTTCAGAATTTACAGTGCAGTGTACATCCTTATGCCAACCATGGAGAGAATATTAGAACATTCTTTCCATTAGCAGAACTCATGGCAGTTACTTTATACATGCAGGAGTTGCTGTTGCTGCTGGTAGCAGTTGAAGAAGGTTAGCCAATATTAAGAGAAAGACCACTGTATTTCTCCACCTACGTTGCTTGCATAGTAGGAGATAAGTTGGGCCTGTATTCATTCTGTGTCTTGGGAACCCAAAGGTGTATTAAGGAACCACAACCCACAGCAAGCAGTGAACTGAATTTTACCACAAGGCAGCCAACACTCTTTTCCTCCTCATTTTACCCTCACAACACCCACTCTGTGAAATAGGTCAGGCTGAGTGTGTGTGTGTGTGTGTGTGACCAGCCCAGGCTCACACAGTGAATTTCAGGACTGGGTGGGGACTTGCATTTGTGTCTCACAGGTCCCAGTCCCAAGTGTTACATCATGAACGTTCGAGGGCTTGAATCTTGATGAGCATGTGGTCATAGCAGGCCCTGTTTTGAACAGTTCCTCTCTCATTCTAGACTGTTATTGATTGCTAACCATGGTCAATGATAGCACTTCGGATTAAAATTAGTTTACATAGGAGTGCAGTAGTGAAGCATTCCAAAGCAGAGCAAGTGGTAAGGCTCCCAGCTAGCTGTAATTGGCAGAGTTATGTCACAGAGGAGGAGCATGCAGGAAAAGGAGCATCTGGCTGCCATTTGTTGTACTGGTCAAATCACAATGCTGCCTTCCTCCTATTGGTTGAGCTGTGTATATCCTGGGGGGGGGGCGCACAAGTAGGAAGAGTGTTTGGGTATTGAAGAGGATATGTTTGAGGTAGGAAATCCCTAACCAGACGGGTAAGGAAACACTACACCATGAAATTGCTTTTGAACATCTGAGGAGCAGTGATCCAGAAGAATTAAGAAGTGCAGTGTGAGGGAGAGGTATGGAAGGACAATAGAATTATGCATGGCTAAGCCTTAGAAAAGTGCCAGATCCAAATTAGCCATTTCTTTGCCTCTCATATCATCTTGCATGTTAACAGGAGGTTGCCCTTTTACAAAGAATAAGGAGGATGGCCACTGTTGTCTGCATGGAGGAAACAGAACTGCTGGTGGTGGACAGAAAGGATTTTTTCAAGTATAAGTTAGACAAGGAACTTCAACGAGAATTAAAAAGCCGATATGAGTTTCTGAGGTAATGCCTCTCAGTCCTTTTCAATAGCCTCTCGAGTTGCTTGTTTTCCTCCTGTGTGCTATTGGCTTTAATTTGGTCTCACTTTGGTGAAAAGGATAGCTTTTATTTATATCAGGGATGCTGAGCTTGTCGTCTTCCAAGGATGGCCGTCTAGCAGAACCAGTTATGAGGATTGATGAGAGTAACAGCCCAACAACATATGGAGGGTGGCAGGCTGCCTAACCCAGATTGTATGTCATGAACTAGCTCTCATGAACTGAAAGATGCTCCTTATGTGGGTGTCGTAGGTCATGAGCAGCCCTCACAAATCTTCATTAGAGCACTTAGTATTATACCATTACTGTGTCTTTGCCATGAAAATATGAGTCAGCTGCTGTTTCAATGGACGTTTCAAAAACCCTCTGGTTTATAAAGTTTTTACTTTCTCTTTCAAACAAAGCCAGATGTGAATACCTCTTGTTCTGAATCCATTGCACAGATTTTCAGAGCTGTCATGTCCTCTTGTATGAAACGTTGCATCTAGTAATCTTTTTATATATATTATTATTATTATTGTACCGTGTCTGCTACCCTTTTTTTCTCAACAATTCACTAATAAGCATAAGCATCAAGGTGTCTTGTGGCACCATAAAGACCAGCACATTTTATTTGGTATAAGTTTTCCTGGGTCTATAGCCTGTTTCATTGAATGGATGCATGTTGTTATATGAAGTTGTCATCCCTAGTCAAGTTATAAGAAGCAGATATTAATCTCTTGATGAATTTCTTAAGGGTGGGCATTCCTGAATAGAAGTACATCACAGACAGATTTCAGTGTGAAATATCTGAAACAGAATCCATCAGAAGGTTCAAATCTATTTTTTGTTCCTTGAATACTCAATTTTTTATTTAATTGTAAGTGTTAATCAGTTCTTCAAGATACTGATGTTTGGTTACCACTGCTGTTTGTTAGTTGCCATTGTTAAGGCAAAATTACATTATGTGTCTCACTCTCTTAAGTGCAAACATTGGCACTTGTTACACAAGGGCATTCCCTCCCACTTTTCATGTTAGGTTTGGACCTGAAGTTTAAGGTGATAAAAACTGCTGACTTGGCAACCGCCAGTGTGGCGAAACAGATACATACAAAGGTCCAGCCTTCCCCTCAGCATTGAAGGGCACCTGCTGTTCCTAGGATGCATCTAGGGAGCAGTTGTATCAGAGGGACAATTGACCCAACTATATAGGCTGGAACATTGAGCCCCATTAGCTGGACAAACCTGCACTGCCATTTTAATTCCATAGAATGCAGTGTTGTGCGTTATGCGCAGGAGGGGGATGCTGAACCACAAAGGCTTAGGATGTCTCTCTGCAGTGAGCAAGAAACAAAAAAGGGTGGGTGTTCAACCACTTTCACTGCCTTACTCATTCTTCTTTTTTACTTGAATTTGGAACCCCTTCATGTGAAACCTAGATGTAAGTTTAAACATATGGGCGTCTTGCTACATTACCTGTACTTCAGACCTTCATGAAATGGAAGATTAACTATAAAGAAGCAGGCAAGTCTGTAGGCTACAACTGAATCAACAGATGGAAACAACCTGTGTTTTCTTTTTGTTTGTAGAACAGTGGATCTTCTTGAAACATTGCCTGATTCTTCAGTAGAGACTATAGCTAACATCTGCAAAGCTGAGAGGTTCCACTATGGACAAGTGATCGCCAATGATATTTCTGATCCATCCAACATTATATTTATTGCAAAAGTAAGATCTGTTTGCCATTAGTGCCTATAGTCTGGTGGTATAATTTATGCCTGTGCAAGGCTGACTATGTCATCAGGAGGGGTGATTTTTCAGAAATTGAACATTTCCAACTTCCTGTGACTTTACCAGTGATGCCTGTTGTCGGCCTGAAGCTGAGCAGGCCAATATCGTAGGAACAGGGTTATACAAAAGGACAACAACAAACAAATAATTGGAGAAAAAGGCCATGTTTCTATTGTTTGTAGTGATAGTATCCCTCACACAGCACTGGGATATTTTTCTTTGCAAACTCACACACCACATAGCAGCTAAAACACCAAATATCCCTGCATCTCCATCAAGAGAAATCTCAACCTTCCGGTCTTCTCCCTGAGGTCCAATTCAGACAATATAAGCACAGCATGATTGCTGCTTCCATGCTGTCTCATAACAGAACTTTGTGGACGAGGGAGTGTCCTGTATTACAGGGGATAGTCCTCTGTTTGAAGGTATCTTCTATTTAAGGGCTGTCTGGTCCATTTCTAGTTTAAAGATAATGATCTAGTTTAAAGATAATGATCTAGTTTAAAGATAATGATAAGGGTAGCAATAGACTTAGGCTTTTATCTGCAAGAAAGGGGGCTCTATAACCTAGCACCTTGCCATCTTATTTTGCACTTTCCAAAGAAGAGGTTTTGTTAGTTTGTCTAAGTAGGTTGGGAAAATGAGAGAGAGAGAAAGCATGGGGGAGATAAAAGACAAGGTCAATATATTGTGGCATTTTAAAAACTAACAAATTAAGTTTAAGTTTGATTTTTCATGCATGGACATCTTGATACTCTTGTTCTTATGTCAACTATGCCTTGGCTGAAATCCTGTTGCATAGTTGTGCAACCAGCATAACCTTTGGAAGCAAACTAATTTAAGGAAAGAAATTTCTGTAGGCACGAACTGTCGTACAGTGAGTCACACAACTTGGCATGTAACTTATAAAGTCTATCTAGATTTCTTAACTCACAGCAATTTGCTGCTGAAAGTTACATCATTTGCATAACTACAACAGGATTTCAGCTATTCTGACTATTTGTCATTTTTATTCTCACCTAATGGCTACTTGCAGAGGTATACATATATAAATACAGAGGACACAGTATGAATACTTAAGGGTAAAGTGCAGAAGTGGATTTTGAATCATGAAAACTCATTCTTACAGAAATTTGTAAGTGCCACAATATTTTGTCCTTGGTTGTTGTTGTTGTTGTTATCATTGTTATCATTATTATCATTATTACCATTATTATCATTATTACTGCACCAACGTGTTTTGCAAGCAATCTCCTTTCAGGTACAGTGGCTACTAAATTGTTCCAGATTCTTTGAATTTTGGAGAGTTTTTTTGTTTTTACTCAGTTCCTTAAACTTAATAACATCTGTGGTTGAAGAAACTGAAGGCTTGTCTTGTTTGTAATTCTTTGGTGATCCAGTAAAGGTATTATGACTCTACCTTTTATAGTAAGATAAAACAGCTTCCCCATATCATTTACCACCTGAACAGCATAAGTATGCAAACAGTTAATCAGATCAGAGTCCTCCCCAGTATGTTTAGATGCATTGTGCTTCTCTTTAAAAGGCAGTAAGTTCATGTTTACACCCAAACCAACATATTCAAATGTATGCCTTCTTTCTTAGTCTTTATCTTTATTTTTCCTTTTCGGTGATATCTTTCCACTTTCTCCAATGGTGGGCTGAGCAGGTAATGTGCCCTGCACTCTTGACCACTTATGTCCCGCTCATGCCACGCTGTAGATATTACTAGTGGAGTGTAGCTCTCGGGAAAAGAGCAAACATTCCTCCACTTGAGTGTTGGATTGAGGACTGCAGCTACGGTATTAATGAACTGAAAACCTTTTAAATCTGTTTAGAACACATCCATTATCATAAAAATTGTTAATGATGGACACTTTCTTAGATGAGGCACTTCCCTTTTGAATGAAAACTTGCCAAGGAGGCTGTGATGTGGAAACCTTGCCTTTTATTCCAAAACATATGCAAAAATGTTCAGATTTAAGGATTAATTAATTAATTATTTAATTCTTTTCTGTTGAGTTGATTCTCACTTGCTGCAACACTCCCAGGGTTTTCTAGGGATAAAGCAGTGAGAATTGGCTTACTGGTGCTGCCTTCTGATGCAGCTTGCCCAAGGCCACAGTGGCAGGGCACAAAGCCTACCCCAAATACCCTTGTTGCCCATTGTTGGGCAGAATTATTGGATATACTTATTAATCGTACTGTAGACCTTCTGACAAGGGAAAAGAAAGTAAATCCCCAACTCATATCTGGAATAGGTCCAATGAATACAATGGACTTGTTAAACGAACATGTGTAAACCCCATTGATTCCCCTTGGTCTATTCTAGTCAAGGTGAAGCGATTTTCTGATTTGGCTGCAAAGGACTCATAATATCCTTGTGTGTGTTTCTGAGCTCTCTGTGTGTTTGTTGTGTCCCTCTAGGTTGCTTCCAACTTATGGCAACCTTATCAATTAATGCTTTCCAAAATGTCCTGTCATGAACCACCTTGCTCAGGTCTTGTGTAGAAGTACTCATGGTTTTGTTTCTTGTTGCTTCCAACTTATGGCAACCTTATGAATTAATGCTTTCCAAAAAGTCCTGTCATGAACCACTTTGCTCAGGTCTTGTATAGAAGTATTCATGGTTTTGTTTCTTAAGTAAATATATAGCTACCCCTTTGGAAACAGTTACTTCAAAGAGTATGTGATTTCTGTTGATGTTCCTGGTGGCTAGCAGAGGAAAGAAACCTTTCATCTTCCAGATATTTTGGATGACAGCCCCAGATTCCTTTATCATTAACCATGCTTGGGAGGCCATGTAAATTATACATGGAGGGCAAAAAGTTTCCTACCATTGGTGGGTTGTTGTTGTTTTTTGGCTTCTTTAGACAAACTTTAGTCAGGTGAAATCTTCTCTGTTGCCTCTGCCCTGTTGGCTAGGCTTTCTTACATGTCGAAGGAGCAGAGAGGGAGATTTGTTTTTTAGTTATTTTAAAATCCAACTCTCCTTCACCTGAACCTTTATCAAGGAGCTTCTGGTATTCTTTCTGTCCATCCCAAGCAGAACCCAAAATCCTGTTCATTTTTCTCTCATGTGTAGTGGTCTATCCTTCTCTCCTGGTGTTTGTGCAACAGCATACTCACTACCCCCTTGTGCATGCAAAAATTCCGTTGCTTTCAAGAGGGCATTCTCCAGGTTGGGTAAAAGTAAGTCAGAGAACACAGAATGATATCTTTGTGGAAACATCAAGCTCTAACAGAGTTCTGTCCGTCGCTTACTGTCTAGAGAATCAGCCATTCTCAACATTTTTCTTTTCTTTTCTTTTTGGCCGCAGCTGTAAACAACAATATGAAAGAAATAGAAGACTGATTCAGGATTTTATAAATCGCAGACTTTATAAGGTGGTGTGAAGAACTGTTTCCAGTCTGTGGCCCCTTCAAATGTGCCAGGGCTCCCCTGAAGTGGTCATATGCCCCTAGTTGAGAATGGCTGGTCTACACAACAAATGTTGGTTTTCTGAATTAACCAGCAACCTCCCCAGTGTCTCTACTAAACTTCTTCCTGTCTGTCAGAAGCAAGAGATGAAGTGAAGAAGTAGGAAAGGAAGCACGGAAGGCCATGACATGCTCCAGGGGATATTTTTGTGTCAGCCAAGGACAAAACCTAACTATATTGTAGAACTTGGTTTTCTCTAAAATGGTGCCCTCTCGAGGTCCTGGCCTACGACTTGTGTCATTCAGTACTGTTAGCTCGTTAGGCTCCTTAGGGCTGATGGGAACGATTACACAAAGGGTGTGGAAGGCATGAGTTAGGAAACGCTGTTCTTCCTAAAGGGCATAGCTTGGGGAATTGGGGAGCTGTAGAGAGATTGGATCCTCAAGAGACTGTAGGCAGGCCTTTTCCTTAAATGTTTGCCTTTAATTAAAAAAAAAAGCAAAGCAAGTGTCACTCTCTGTCCCGTTTCTTTGTATAAATGTAATTAAAAAAACCCTTCTCTGTCCAAATGCTCAGCAAGGAGTAAGCACCACTGCTCCACTGTTTGCGCCAGTTGAGTGCAAAGGAAATGGGGCCACTTGTTGTACAGATAAGCATTTATTCTTGCATTTTGTCATATTCTTCACCTTGTGATCGGAGAAGGAGATGGGCCTTTCTTTCAATAATATGACAGGCTCCCTGTGCTCAGAGTAATGATTATGCTATCTGGGAATGATGAGAGTTACAGTACAAGACACGTGGAGGGCACTAGATTGGGGGAGGCTGATTTACAGTCACCCCCAGCTCTTAGGCCACATACTAAAACATTCTGGCTTATGGCCCTCACAGTATCAACAGAACTGCTTTTGTTTTTCTTCATTTCGACAGGGTATTTGTGAAGTTTTGCGACTGGTTGACCTCAGCACTTGCCCATCATATCACAAGTGGCTCTCTAAACAACTGTGTTTTCCCAACCGCAAACTACAGACAAGGGAAAAGCGTCGTTTGGCTGCTGGTATACTAAAATTTACCTTTTGCACAGAAGTACTTTACCAAGGTTTTACTGTATGGCTGTGAGTTAAATTATCTGTCATGCTTCCAAAAGGAAGTAGTCCCTGCAGTGTCCAGAGGCTGGAATATTGTCTTTTGGAAGGAACTCATTGTATTACTCTTTTGTCTGAGGCCACCAAATCATTGCTATATCATCATCATTATCAGAACTGCAGAACTGGAAAGGCCTCTATGGCTCATTGAGTTCTGCCCGTCAAGGAGGCACAGTGAGGAATCAAACTCCCAACGTCTGGCTTTGCAGCCAGAAATCTAAACTACTGAGCTATCCAGCAATTCCTATTATCATGGTCTGTTTTGTTTTTAAATAACTTGCTGCTTTGTATATTTTAAATGCATTGGTTACATTATTTAGCACAGTGGGAAAAATATTTCTTGATTCCTTCAGTGGTGATCCCGATACTGTACCATAAAAGCACAAAAACAATTATTTTGGCACATAGGATTGGTAGGCAAATGGCATAAAATTTTCCTGTCAGGATGTCTCTAAAATGCATTTAGATGTCCTTTAAGAGTAACTTTAGAAAGTAACCAGAAAGCATTATCCATAGCATCAAACAACTAGGGTTTCTACAGTATGTTGGTTCCATCCTTGTTGCCCAAAAAGTAACTAGTTGCAGGTAACTATTTTCTTGTGTCTGGTTCTTCCCTATTCTATACTGGTCTAAGTATTGGAAGAAAAAAAAACCATAGACAAAATTTTTTGACAGCAGAACAGTAACAAAATACCTATTTTATGCAGCTCATTATCTTGCTTTAACTATAAGTCTTTATTTATTTCATATGTATTCCATCTTTTTTACACTGTGGATCTTATTCTGCCATTTAAAGAGTACCTCTACCCAGCTAATGCTTTTTCAGTCTGATCTCCTCCAGATGGGTTGGAGTAAAACTCTGATCATTCCCAGCCATCCTGGGCAGTTTGATAGGATATGTAGTAAAACAGAAAAGAAGGTCACCAGATCATGGAAGAGTACTTTAAAATAAGAGGCTTTCCAGATGTTGTGGATGACAAGTCCCTCAATTGCTTTCCACTGGCCAGGCTAAATGGAGCAAATGAGAGTTGTAAGTTGAAACATTTGGTGGGCCCAAAGGTTCCATTTGACTGTTCTAAGATGGGAACAGTTCCATAAAGGTTATCAATATTTATGTGGAAAGAAAGGGGGGGAATCCTGGTTCTCTAGCATGACTGGCTCCAGAGGTGTTTTTCTTTTTCCAGAGATTGCATGTGTGGACAGATTCAAAAGTACCATGTGGAACTCCTACTCGGGACAGAAGCTGAATGATCTGAAAGAATATTATGTCCGTAAAGCCTATGATAGTTTTGCAAGGGAAAGCTCTGACTTCACCAAGAGTCGTAAAAGTGTAGTGATAGCTGTGGATACCTGTGAGAGGAGGTAAGAAGAGGAACCTTAGCTTGTGTCCAACAACATTTGCTCCTCTTGACAGAGAGGAGACACTGGAACACAGAAGTGGGCTTTCAAATGTCTTTCAAAGCCCTCTTCTTGTGGGGGAAGTGATTGGCTGTTTGTGAATCGAGCCCTCCTCTTACTAACTTTTGACAGATAAAGTTCTTCCTGGTATCCTTATCCAGGATTTTCTTTCTTAGAGTAAGCAACACGATTTGAAATATCCCACTTCCAAATGACTGAGAACAAAATTAGCTTAAGGACACTCTGGGAGATACTAAGTAGGCTAATGCATACTGTCAAGAGGAAATATCATACTTGAATGAACAGAGTTTATCAGAACTTTCAGGACTGAGACTTAGCTTGTGAGAGGCAGCTGTGGACCTGATCAAAGCTTGGGAAATTACTTTTAAGAAAAGTACGTAACAGGATTGGAATGGAAGGTTTAGCACAGTTACTCAGTGAGACAGGTTTAGATTGCCAACTCAGCCAAGAGGGAAGAGCTTTAGAGGTGCGGACGAGGCCCTCCATCTAACCATTTGCAGGGTGGTGGGAGCAGCTGACAGTGCTCAGTTCAGCACTGCAGCAAGGAAGTATGCTTGCCCTAAAGACCGGACTTGATTTGATCTTTGTGACCTATTTCTCCCAATTATATGACCCAAGGTGGCTCACAAATTATTAAAAGACCAGACAAATTAAAACACAATAAATTATTACATTTAAAAAGAATTAAACATATACAAGTGTTACAGTAACCAGTTAAAACTGTGTAAAAACACCCTAAGAGCAAGTTAAAACAAACATAAAATAATGTGCAGCACCCTAACTTATTACTGCCCGCTAAAATATGTTCCTCACCTGTCACCAGAAGGACAAGAAGGCACCAACTGGGTCTCCTTGGGGATAGCATTCCAAATCTGGAACCAATGTGCAGCACCCTAACTTATTACTGCCCCCTAAAATATGTTCCTCATCTGTCACAAGAAGGACAAGAAGGCACCAACTGGGCCTCTTTGGGGATGGCACTCCAAATCCAAACAGTAGAAGATTCCTGGTGCATCACTTGGAAGTGAGATGAGATAACCAGAAACTACAGGTATTTTAATCATTTTATATTTTATTGTATTGAATTTTAATTGTTGTAAGCCACCCAGAGACCTTTGGATAGAGTGGGCGGCATATAAATTAAATAAATAAATAAATAAATCCAAATAGTAGAAGATTCCTGATGCATCACTTGGAAGTGAGATGAGATAACCAGAAACTACAGAATCTTGGGGAAAATTGGAAGTATATTAGTTTGTCTAGCAAGTAATGTGAAATTCCCACTTCTTCAAGTAACAGTATAGAGCGTTGTCCTCCCTCATAATTGGTCGCCTTAATAAATGTCAGAATCAAGTGGGTTCAGAGACAAGGATACAGTTTAAGGTTGTGTCTGCACAAGTGGGGTGCACTGCGTGGTCCTGGCACAGCCTGTCCCTATACATACAGAATCTCACCCCGAAAAGGTTTGTCTTTCCCTTTTGCCTGTCCCTGCCTACTTCACTCTCTCCTCTGTTCTGTCCTTGTTTTACCTGTTTTGGGGTGTGTGGAGGTGTCAGAATCAAGTGGGTTCAGAGACAAGGATACAGTTTAAGGTTGTCTGCACAAGTGGGGTGCACTGCGTGGAGAAGATTGACCAGCATAAAAATGCCCAAAGGAAAATGTCATCAAAAGACACCTGCCCACATAGTGTACAGGTAAGCACAAAGCAATGTAGTACGAGAGTCCTGCACTGGAACAAATTGAAGGAAAGCAAAGCAATGGTGCAAATACTCCCAAAAAGCAAGGTATGGTGTTTTTTTGTCCTGTTTTGCCCCTGTTGACACTATTTTCAGTTCTTCATTGTGTGGACACAGGGATTCTGTACAAGTTTTAAGATGCATTATTAGGCTTTTGTTAGGTCATTTGCAGAGACCTTTGTCTCACACTCTCCACACACATATCCTTTTTCTCTCTTTCCTTCCTTCCTCCTTCTTCCTGCTTGGTGGGCTGCCAGGGGAGGGACAGGTTGCACTTGCCAAAGATCTGGGCTGATTATTTACAAAGATCTTCTCTAAATTAGGCTGAGCATCTCATGTGGCCCTTAGGCTGAGAGTTGCTCACATCCTGGAGTGGAGGCAGGTGACACACTTCAAGAGAGTTGTGTGTGGTTCTAGATTAGGAAGACAAGGGGAGGTGGAACTGTCTGTGTGCCTCGGCAGTGAAACAGATTGCTCAGCACTCCTTGAGCCAGTCGTGCCCCTGGTCATTCTTCAAGTTGTGTTGCATTGAAGTTTCTGGCCATTCTGCCAGTGGCAGTGCTGCAGGCCAACAGAGGGTAAAGGGTTAAAAAGCATCTCAGGGGCAGAGCTTGGAAAAGTTGCTTTTGGACCCACCCAAACCCCATCTAGCATGACTATGAAAAACTACTTTTTTGGACAGTAGCCCCCAGAGTTCTTGAGTCAATACGATGGTTGTGCCCCTGGTCGTTCTTCAAGTTGTGTTGCACTGAAGTTTCTGGCCATTCTGCCAGTGGCAATGCTGCAGGCCAACACAGGGTAAAGGGTTAAAAAGCATCTCAGGGGCAGAGCTTGGAAAAGTTGCTTTTGGACCCACCCAAACCCCATCTAGCACGACTTTGAAAAACTACCCTTTTTGGACAGCAGCTCCCAGAGTTTTTGCTTCAATGCGGCATCTACCCGTGCTGGCTGGGAGAGTTTGGGATTGTAAACCAAAAGAGTAACTTGCCAAACTTGATTTCCGGTTCTTACTTTAGAAGCAAAGAAATGTAACATTTATTTGGGGGGAAATGCAGTACTGAATTGATAAAGGCCAGGAAGTGACCTACAAGTGTTGACGTCTTTTGACTTCTAGTCCCTCCAGTGAGCAGCAACAGCAGCAGCAGCAACAGGAGGATGATGAAGAGGTTGTCCAAAAAGTTGTATCAGGAAGAGCATTTGAAAAGAAATTAACTTACTCTACTTCCTATGGAGAGATGCCATCTTCTGTTTCAGCAGCTGTATATATCCGAGTGGATGAACTGCGCAAAGGGGAATATATAGTGAGTAGATAGGTTTTTGGTTCTAAACCAGCAGTGGAGAATCTTTTCTGGACCCCACCATCATCCACTACGCAAGCCAGACGAAGTGGGAGGCATAGTGGTCACCTTCCTGATACTTTTGTCCAGTCTCTGAGTAAAGCAGTGGAAGGAGGAGTGTTCATCTGGCTAGTACCTCACCAGAGCAGCCATACTCACTCTACAGAGGGCAGAGATTTAGTGGTGGTGGTAGTGGGTCTATAGTGGAGTTGAACTTGGAAGTAATTCCTTAGAAGACACTTCAATGGCTGTGGTGCCAATGCTTGTTGGTGCCATGTTGCTGCTGGCAGGGTCGATGGCGAAGCAGCTGGTGGTGGGCAGAACCAGAAGTGATAGGCAGAGCAAGGAGCAAGGACCGATATCTATGTACACATGCACTCCCTCCAGGCATCGCCATACAGACATATTTACACATGCACACATACAAAAGTGGTGAGGTACTCATTCATTCCTTTACTCTCCCTGCTTTATTTGCCCCACAAGTGAAGAGAGACAAAAATATCTGCCAGCAAATGCAAAATGTTCTTCACAGCTTCTTTTTCCGTCAAATTTCAAAGCTAGGCAGCTAAGCTTATTCACTCACGTTCATTCTTTTAATTTATCTCCCATGTTGGCAATAATTTCTTCTGCAGAGGACAGCTGATTGGTAAGGTGAATCTACGGCTAATAATTTAATCACTGTGGCAAGGCAACAAAGGAAAACAAACCTTTTGTTGTACAAAAACAACAATAGCAAAAGGCGGGGCTGAATGAAGGAGGAAGTAATAACAAAGGCAAAGAAAGGCATGGTACCAAAGTCCATCTGGCTATCTGTCAGTTTATCTATTCCCCTTGGTTATTCTTGACACAAACATTGGTAAACTTATTTTTAACAACACACACATAACTTTTTTTGTTAATCAAAAAGCTAAAAAAATCAAAGCAGCCTAAAACATTCCTGATGAAAGATGATCCTCACAATCCCTTAGCTACAACATTTCTGGTACACCCAGAAAATGGTTTGCATTCACCCATTATGTTCAGAAGGAATACTCATCAGAAATCTCTGCTGCTCAAACTGAAATAATCTGGATTATCCTACTACCCTGAATGCACCAGCCTCATGTGATTTCAAAAGCCAAGCAGGACTAGACATGAATAGGATTTAGATGTGGAGACTATCAAGTCATATCAGAATCTGCAGGTAGTGCTAGGAGAGAATCCTATCTGAGAGCCTGAGAATTATAATCTGAATTGGCAATACAGGGGTTACAATTTTTTTTTTAGTTTGTCCATTTTTGTTTGGTTTCTGACATGTATTGTCAATTGACCCAAAGCCACGTTTCCCCCAGCCATTCAGTGCTCTATCACTTGGGTGGCAAGTTCATCAAGTGATATGTTACCTATACATGAGAAAAAGTTGATTTTTCTCCTGCTCCCCACAAAGATGGTGATAGGAAAGAGTGATCCTTTTTTAAAAAAATCTTTTACAATCCAGCACTGTTTCACTTTGGTGGCAAACCAATGCAGTAATATCTTGCTTACCAATTATTATTATTTTAAATCTCGCTTTTTCCTGCTTGTCAAAAATAATAAAGAGAGGAGAGGAGGCCATGAGGCCTTAGAGGAATGAATGGGCTAAATGCGGTCACTTTGGGGTGCAGTGTGGCTTCCTGTAACAAACCCACCCAATCTTTGCAAGTGAATACAAAGATCGTTTTGAATCTCAGACCACATTTTCAAATGACCCTGTTTAGCCCAATCCAGCCTAGATAACTTCACTGTCTAGCCACACCCTTTTTGTTGTTTAGTCGTTAAGTCGTTTCTGACTCTTTCGACCCCATGAACCAGAGCATGCCAGGCCCTTCTGTCTTCCACTGCCTCCCGGAATTAGGTCAAATTCATGTTGGTAGCTTTGATGACACTGTCCAACCATCTCGTCCTCTGTCGTCCCCTTCTCCTCTTGCCTTTACACTTTCCCAACATCAGAGTCTTTTCCAGGGAGTCTTCTCTTCTCATCAGATGGCCAAAGTATTAGAGCCTCAGCTTCAGGATCTGTCCTTCCAGTGAGCACTCAGGATTGATTTCCTTTAGAATGGATAGGTTTGTTCTCCTGACAGTCCAGGGGGCTCTCAAGAGTCTCCTCCAGCACCACAATTCAAAAGCATAAATTCTTCAGCAGTCAGCCTTCTTTATGGTCCAGCTCTCACTTCCATACATCGCTACTGGAAAAACCATAGCCTTGACTATGCAGACTTTTGTTGGCACGGTGATGTCTCTGCTTTTTAAGATGCTGTTGAGGTTTGTCATCGCTTTACTCCCAAGAAGTAAGGCGTTTTTTAATTTCATAGCTGCTGTCACCATCTGCAGTGATCATGGAGCCCAAGAAAGTAAAATCTGTCACTTCGTCCATATCTTCCCCTTCTATTTGTCAGGAGGTGATGGGACCAGTGGCCATGATCTTGTTTTTTTTTTATGTTGAGCTTCAGACCCCTTTTGGCACACTCCTCTTTCACCCTCCTTACAAGGTTCCTTAATTCCTCCTCACTTTCTGCCTTCAGAGTGGTATCATCTGCATATCGGAGGTTGTTGATATTTCTTCTAGGCAATCTGAATTCCGTCTAGGGATTCCTCCAGTCCGGCCTTTCACATGATGTATTCTGCAAATAAGTTAAATAAGCTGGGGGACAATATACAGCCTTGTCATAATCTTTACCCAATTTTGAACCAATCAGTTGTTCCATATCCAGTTCTGACTGTTGCTTCCTGTCCCACATATAGATTTCTCAGGAAATAGGTGTTCACACACTCCTATTTCTTTAAGAACTTGCCATAGTTTACTGTGGTCCACACAGTCAAAGGCTTTTGCATAGTCAATGAAGCAGAAGTAGATGTTTTTCTGGAATTCTCTGGCTTTCTCCATAATCCAGCGCATGTTAGCAATTTGGTCTCGAGTTCCTCTGCCCCTTCGAAACCCAGCGTGTACTTCTGGGAGTGCTCAGTCCACATACTGTTGTGGACAAGATCTTGTAGGATTTTGAGCATAACCTTGCTAGCATGTGAAGTGGGTGCAATTGTTGGTAGTTGGAGCATTCTTTGGCACTGCCCTTCTTTGGGACTGGGATGTAGACAGATTTTTTCCAATCCTCTGGCCACTGCTGAGTTTTCCAAACTTGCTGGCATATTGAATGTAGCACCTTAACAGCATCATCTTTCAAGATTTTAAAGAGTTCAACGGAATGCCATCACCTCCACTGGCCGTGTTGTTAGCCATGCTTTCTAAGGACCACTTGACTTCACTCTCCAGGATGTCTGGCTCAAGGTCAGCAACCACACTATCTGGGTTGTCCGGGTCATCCAGCTCTTTCTGGTATAATTCCTCTGTGTATTCTTGCCACCCCTACTTGATGTCCTGCTTCTGCAAGGTCCCTACCAGTTTTGTCCTTTATCATGTCCATCTTTGCTCAAAATGTTCCTTTAATAGCTCCAATTTTCTTGAACAGATCTCT